AAGAAACAAACGTTTGCACACGATTTTGTTTATCCCGCATCGGAATGACGATCGTGATACTGGTATTTGCAACTTGTGCACACCACCAATTACGCGCCCGCCCTGCCCCCCCCCATAGCCCCAGCCTCAGGACGTGAACTTGTTATGCGACTTGAAAGACACAATGATGCTACTGGTATCTGCAAGTTTCTCGACGGATTCGTGGTTTCCGGGGATCGGCAGGGGTCCCGCCTGGAGGCCCCCCCGTGCCTCCTGCTATGGATGCCTCTGGGTCGGTGGCCCGCCCCTGCCTCCTGCTGTGGATGCCTCTGGGGCGGTGGCCCGGCCCCTCCCTCCTGCTGTGGATACCACTGGGTCGGTGGCCCGGCCCCTGCCTCCTGCTGTGGATGCCCCTGGGTCGGTGGCCGGGCCCTTGCCTCCTGCTGTGGATGCCTCTGGGTGGGTGGGGGCCCTCGAGATCGGCCCTCCGGCCTAATAAAAACGCTATTCTATGAACAGAATTTGTCACCCAAAACACCCACCCCAAAATCCAGGAAATTTGGCTTTAAGTTTAGCAAACCCCCATTCAAGGTTTATTAATAAGGTTTTTCCAAACCCTATGGTTTAGCAAGGGTTTATCAAACCCTAGGGTTTAGCAAACACCCATTCAAGGTTTATTAACTAATTTAGGGTTTAGCAAACCCTAGGGTTTAGCAAACCCCCATTCAGGGTTTATAAAGTTTTATTTAAGGTTTAGCAACCCTAGAGTTCAGCAAACCCCCATTCAGGGTTTATTAAACCCTAGTTCAGGGTTTAACAAACCCTAGGGTTTAGCAAACCCCCATTCAGGGTTTATTAACGTAATTTAGGGTTTGGCAAACCCTAGGGTTTAGAAAACCCCCATGCAGGGTACAGGACCTGAAGGGTTGTCCTAACCCCTGCAGGATCTGAAGGGTTTCCTTGAACCCTTCAGGACCTGTTTGTATTTTAGGCCCAGAATGGGGGGGACCTCGAGATCGGCCCTCCGGCCTAATAAAAACGCTATTCTATGAACAGAATTTGTCACCCAAAACACCCACCCCAAAATCCAGGAAATTTGGCTTTAAGTTTAGCAAAACCCCATTCAAGGTTTATTAATAAGGTTTTTCCAAACCCTATGGTTTAGCAAGGGTTTAGCAAACCCTAGGGTTTAGCAAACACCCATTCAAGGTTTATTAACTAATTTAGGGTTTAGCAAACCCTAGGGTTTAGCAAACCCCCATTCAGGGTTTATACAGGTTTATTTAAGGTTTAGCAACCCTAGAGTTCAGCAAACCCCCATTCAGGGTTTATTAAACCCTAGTTCAGGGTTTAACAAACCCTAGGGTTTAGCAAACCCCCATTCAGGGTTTATTAACGTAATTTAGGGTTTGGCAAACCCTAGGGTTTAGAAAACCCCCATGCAGGTTACAGGACCTGAAGGGTTGTCCTAAACCCTGCAGGATCTGAAGGGTTTCCTTGAACCCTTCAGGACCTGTTTGTATTTTAGGCCCAGAATGGGGGGGACCTCGAGATCGGCCCTCCGGCCTAATAAAAACGCTATTCTATGAACAGAATTTGTCACCCAAAACACCCACCCCAAAATCCAGTAAATTTGGCTTGAAGTTTAGCAAACATTCAAGGTTTATTAATAAGGTTTTTCCAAACCCTGTGGTTTAGCAAACACCCATGCAAGGTTTATTAACTAATTTAGGGTTTAGCAAACCCTAGGGTTTAGCAAACACCCATGCAGAGTTTATTAACTAATTTAGGATTTAGCAAACCCTAGGGTTTAGCAAACCTCCATTCAGGTTTTATTAATTCTTAATTTAATGTTTAGCAAACCCTAAGGTTTATTTAGGGTTTACCAACCCTAGAGTTCAGCAAACCCCCATTCAAGGTTTATTCAACCTTAATTCAGGGTTCAACAAACCCTAGGGTTTAGCAAACCCCCATGCAAGGTTTATTAACGTAATTTAGGATTTAGCAAACCCTAGGGTTTAGCAAACCCCCATGCAGGGTTTATTTAACTCTAATTTAGGGTTTAGCAAACCCTAGGGTTTAGCAAGCCCCCATTCAGGGTTAATTACCGAAAATTCAGGACCCGGAAACCCCCCAAAGCCCCAAAGAACCCAACACCCGATCCAAAAACCTAGAACCCTAGCCACCGAAACCCCAAAAAAACTTCGCGAACTCAAAAAAACCTCCAAAAACCCAAAAAAAACCCAAAAAAAACCCCCCAGTTTAATATTCTCAAAAACGCACCCCGCACACGAAGCAAGCTCAGGGTTTAGCAAACCCTAGGGTTTAGCAAACCCCCGGGACCAAAACCTACAATTGACGACCCGCAGCCGGAAATTAAGGACCCGGAGCTTATAATTAAGGACCGCGCCAAGACCGGACCTAAAATTAAGGACCCGGAGCCTAAAATTAAGGGCCCGAAGCTGAAAATTAAGGGCCAGGACCGAAAATCTAGGGTTTAGCAAACCCCCAAGTAAGGTTTATTAAATTCAGGGTTTAGCAAACCCGAAACCCAAACAAAACTCGGAAAATTCAAAAAAACTTCCGAAAACCCAAAAAAAACCCAAAAAAAACCCAAAAAAAAACCCCCAGTTTAATATTCTCAAAAACGCACCCCGCACACGAAGCAAGCTCAATAAACCCTAAACCCCTAAACCCTAAGGGTTTGACCCCCCGCGAGGGTTTAAGTAAATTGAAGGGTTTGACCCCCGCGAGGGTTTAAGTAAATTGAAGGGTTTGACCCCCGCGAGGGTTTAAGTAAATTGAAACCCTAAACCCTAAACCCTAAACCGTGGCTCTGGCTAACGGCGGTCCTTTTGTTTGGAGTCGGCTCCGAGACGGAGCCGCTCCAGTTACTCCAAGCAGCGCTCAGCTTTTGTAACTCAAAGCGTTTGCTGTAGCCCTAAGCTTTCGAACATAACAGGAAGGGTACTCTTCCGAAACCCTTGCTTGACAACCCTTTTATCTCAAACACTTGACAACCAACCCCTAACCCTAACACCTTGATCAAAAAACTACACACTGAACAGCTCCATCAAACACACCGAAGTGTTCAGCGAACTTAGACCCAACTAAACAACCTCAACCCTTTTACACCTGGACTAAGCAAAAACAACTTCAACCCTGAACCCTAAACCACAAAACCGGTCCAGGACACACCACTTGTCGGCGGCTCGTGCTAACATCTCAATTCACTTAACACGCGAAACCCTCATTGAGCTTGAACCTTCGCGGATGAATCGGCGCTTCGTGGAGGCGCCCTGCCGGTCAAGGCGAAGCCCCATATTCGTGCCTGTAAGCAAACCTCGCTCTGAAATCAACCCCAAGAATCGGGGTGAGTGAGTGAGTGTTGCTTAAGTGTAGACATGGCAACTTGCTCAGGCCACGGCATTCATCTCAAAGCAGAGCCTTCACCCCCTTCTGTTGGCCCTGCAGAGACACTTTTCACGAGCAAGTGCAAGCCAAGGGTCATGGTCACGTTGTTGCACAAGGGTGGACATGTCAACTGTACGGGTCAGGAGCTCTCGATCAAACCTTTGTTTTGGCCTAGGCTCGGAAGTGCTCTGACCGCAAACAGCCTTGAAGTGAACAGCGGATCTGCATGCTGCCTTCCGACCAAGGGCGAAACCCTCAAGGGGAAGGATTCAAGCACTTTGATTTGCTTCGAGCCGTCCGAAACACGGTGTCAGCTAACAGTGTTAGGGAAGGGTTCAAGTGCATGTTGTTGTCGTTGTGTCTTCGGCCTGCCGGGCCATCCTACGATCCCAAAGCTCAACCCTAACACTCACACACACACACACACACACACACCTACCATGCTAAAGCCTCACACCAGAACTCAACTCCAAACAAGATGGGCTCTTGCACCTGAGCTGGATCTTACCGCGGTTCTTGTTTGCTGCCATCAACCTCTCGAATGCCAGCATTTCCTGGCCAGTGTTAGTGAGGAACGCGCGCCCACGGGCAAGATCCGGCAGGACATGCAACGTAGCTTCTGCCGGAGTACCGCAAGAGCTTCAAGCAAGCAATGCAGCAAGCAATGCAATTGGTCAATGGTCGGCCAAGCCTTAGTCAGCCATATCGAGCGTCGATCAACCCAAAAACCGAGTAGCAGGGTTGCATGCGGATATGGCAATGTCAAGCCTGCACGCGGGGACAGCCGGCTCTGTCGGCTCTTACCGAACACTTGCTGACATTGTCACCTGGATTTCAAGACTGAGTGAGGCGTGTGGATGGTCATGGTCACGTGTTGCTTCAAAACGGACAAGGCAACTGCTGCAGTAGCAGGCAAGGAGCTTTCGATCAAGCCTTTGTCCTGGAACTGAAAAGGCGGATCTGCATGCTCTTGCACATCCTGGTGTGTTAAACTTTATGCGGAAATGGTGGGAAAAGTTGCAAGCTCTGTGGGGTCAGATCGCAAGGCAGCTTTGATCCGAGCCGCCCACTCCCAAGACAGCAAGTCTGGTTCCTTGGAACGTCGCACCATGTCCAGACATAGTTTTTGCAGAAACTACCAGGGTTCTTCTGGGTCTGATCTTGTCAGTGGCTACACCGCGGTAATCGCCGTACGTAGCTCGCAGTGCATGCCACTACCATGATGTCGGCCACCATATGACACAGCTGAACACTCTGAGCCAAGCAAGCTTCAGCACAGGAACAAAGCTCGTGCAGCCATGTGCATTCTAATGTGCTGCAGAACGAACCCGTCTTCTGCAAAGATCTCATGATATCTTACCGCGGTTCCAACAGCATGGTGACTTTTTTCAGCTGCAGGTGCCTTCCGTCATAAAGTGTAGCAGGAAACGTCCACGGTGTGTCCATGCCTAGCGACACGAAGAAGAACCAACGGCCATCAAGCGGGACACCGTTTACGACCGAGGCTTGACCACCAAACTCCTGGCACAGGACACTCGCCTCTTGCTCGTGACACCAACGGATTCTACATCGAATGCCGGCGCTCCTGAAGCCTTTCTTGGAAAATATCAGCTTGGCACGACTGACGGCGAAACATCGGCGGTGTCCGGCAAGCTGACATTTTCACGGTCCATCAGCACGGCCGCAATTTGTTCGGCCAAAGCCACGTCGTCCGCATGGAATGCTGTCCAGGAAGAGGTCGTGTCTGCCGTGCTGCATTCTGAGGCAGCTTCGCAGTTGGTCGAGTTATCCTTGCGCAGCATACTTGACGAGACCAGGTATTGCCTCAGCAGGCCCTCAATGGAGCTCTGTGAATTGGAGGAGCTTTGAAACTTCCAGGATTCGTTCGGAGCACAGCCCTTCTCCTGATTGCCAACAAAGACTTCCCACACGGACGCAGGAGACGTGTGATTCGATGGGCATGCCGGGGATGGATGCTGTCCACTAGCCAGGGCCAACTGATGCAAGCGCTGCAGCTGCACTGGTGGGCACTGTGCCTGGATGAAGCTTTGCGAGGCCTTTGAAGTCGGCACCCGTGAATGCGCACTTCCGCACGCCAAAGCTGGGTACTGCACCTGTGAAAATGGACGAAGGCCCAAAGGATGGCAAGGTGCACCCAAAGGTGGCCACGCCGCCCAAGGCCCATGCATCCATTGCAAATACATCGACTCTGGCAGAGCTATGCCTTGGTGCAAGAAGCCATGAGGGCCTCCAGCTCCACCGGCTCTGATGAGCCCATTCCGAGCTGTCTCGGTTCTGCTTTGGGGCTTCTTTGGCCGGTTGCCAGACTTGCGCCCCTTTGTGACCACCCCCGGCTTGAGCTTCGACTTGCTCTCCTGATCCTGTGACTCTGGTATCTCCGCCGGCGCTATGTGCTCTGCCTTGGGGCTTCCGGCGCTTGCTCCATTTGCGATGACAGGTGGCTCCTCCGACATGGCGTCTTTGAAAATAACTAGCTGAGTCGACGCACCCACAGCAGTCTTGCTGTTTGTGCACACCTTTGCTTACTCTCATGACTTGAGCTACGTTGTGTAGATGGCTTGCCTTGATCAGTTGCTAGGTACATCTGAGAGCAAACCTTGGCATGGCTCAACTATGCGTGGTCATGTGACGTGGAATCTTTGCCGCTAGCATCTGCCTGTGATACAGGAATCAGCATGCCGTTGTCGCAACGACTCCATGTCAAAATGCAAAATGATCTTTGCATGCAGCTAAAATACGCCTTGTGCAGCATCGGCCAGTTTGGTGTTCTCCAGTTTTTCGTTTGATGTTCCGATGCTTTTGGGATTTGCTGGCTTTCGAGTGTCGAGCATGGAACGGTCAGATTGCGGAACTAGTGACGGTGGCTTTTCTGGCGATATTATGTTGGCGCTTGTCCCGGCAACAGTAGCTCATGCAACTCTGGAGAAGTCCGAGCCAGCGTCGGAAAACCGATGCCACGATGAGAGAACATACATAGGTTCGAGGCCAGAGCACCTAACAAGAAAAATCAAGGGGCCCACGGCAAGGTTGAGGAAATGAGCCCCAAGGCAAGACTTTCGCCCCTTCATTAATTTCCCACCGAGTTATTCAGTTATTCCCAGCATGGCCGAAGGACCTGACAGGAGCATCCCTATAGTCGAAGGCCCGGCTTCATCGCGTCGTGTTTCCAGCTGCGAAAACGGCTTTTGCCAGGACTGGCTGTCGCAAGGAAGGAGGCTCGTCATCGCTTGTGCGGTTTCGCAGTTTCGCTCTGTGTTAGCTCATCCAAGCAAACGTCTCGATTGATGACCGCCCCATGAAAGCTAGGAAGCAAACGCCAAAAGCACTGAGGAAACGCATTTGGTGAGTGCCCCAGGCGCTTCCATAGTTGCCCCTGTGTGCTTTTTGATCTGTCATTGGCAAGGCGATGCGTCTGGATGTGAGATGTACAATCTCACGCACTTCAGGTCCTCCCAGTCGAGGCGTCGTGCCTCTGATCTGACGGGACCTGGACCTGCGAAACTTCTGTGGCAGCAGGTATGCCGCCTACTGCTGCCCTCGGCAGTAGCCTCAGATTAAAAGGGGGAGAGGTACCCGACGGCTCTTGTGACGTTGGTGAGCAATGAGGCGACAACCCAGCTCCAGGTTGAACTCTGTCACCCTTGCTGGCCTTTCATCATGCAGGCGGAAACTTAAGTCACCATGAATCCATGAATGAGGCGGTCCTGCAGGCAATCTGCGGGTGGCAATGCTCCAGCAGTTGTCTGTGACTTGGGCTTGTATGCCTCACAAGAGCCGAGTGTCTGCTCAGATCGCTCTGGCCACGGTCGCGAAGAGGCCACCGGTCCGACGGAAGGAGCCTGCCTTGCACAGTTGAGGTGATCACCAAAGACTCACGACTGGCCGGAGTCTGGGTTACCAGCTTGATTGCATTGAGATTGCGCCAATCTGCCTCAGTTGCAATCGCAGACGTGCTTAGATCGCTGGCCATGTCGTCCATCTGCACAGCATCTCGCAGTAGCGCGTCGGCAGCTGAAACACTGGACCGCCACATAACCACTGAGCACCCCACAAACGAATCGGTCTGACAGTGTGCCGGCCTGGGGTACGCCGAGGATTACAAAAGAAGTGAACAAGGTTGGAAGGAACGGTGTTTATCTGAATAGTGTCACATCAGTTCGCGGAGGCATCCTGTCAAATTATCGCAACTGTCGGACAAGCAGTAACCAGATATGCTTAAATATGGTGCGGACGCTCCGAGTCCTCAGCAGACAATCATCCGTCGTCATTGTCACGCGAGAAACGGATAGAAGTTTCTGCGAATGTGCCGACACCTCCAAAGCATTCACCAAGCATGTGCCTTCCTTGCATGTTTCACGGCACTGGTTCAACTGCATCTCTCTCCTCGTGTTCGAACCGGGCCAGCCTCAGAAGCAACGAAGCGCATTCGCAGCCAGTCGACTGTCAAAGGTTGGCTCGAAACTCCGCGTGAGGCCGAGGACGTCGCTCGTTTGACAAGCGCTTGAAGCTATCACTGGTCCCACTGAGGCCTGCCGTGCTGCCGTGCTGTTCAGACTGCACAGAGCCACAAGCGTGCAATCTCACGGGCTGCACGCAAGCCTTCCAGGCGGATGCGAGTCCTGGGAAGAGTTTCGAGTGCCACCTGGAACAGTCGAAGCATTTTGCGGAAGCTGGAACCCGCTTAGACCGCACAGATCTTCTCATGCCTCGTTGTCTTCCTGGCTGGCAGCCTCGTCCGGTGCTGCTTCGCTCTAATTAGACGGCTCAGCAGCCTTAGCAGCACCAGAGACAATTGCAACACGCACGAAGAAAAGGGTCCCTGCGAGCTCCGATCGCCTGCGGACATCAAATACCATCCGACATTAGACACGTCGTGTGCTGGGTGGCCCAGGCCTCTGAGGAAGACCGACAGCCTCCTGTAAGCTTCAGTGCGAAAACACGACTTAGCACGCAAACTTTTGTGTACACATGCCTCCAGCACCTGCAGTCTGCGTGTCAAAGACGTGACCTCCATACTGTTGTGACCTGCGACATGCCGATCATGCATGAGCAAGTCGAGACGTGCCGCCGCAACTTCGCACAGCATCCGGCCAAGTTCATCCAAAGATGCTTCCAACACCTCGCTGAGCTTGACCTTCGGCAATTGATGATCAATTCGCGGCCGGCCAAGACCGACCGTGCAATTCAGTGAGGCTGCAGCGCAATGAGTGTTACAATCTTTCACCGCTGCAGCCGTAGTAGACCATGCTTTTTGCCAGAAGGACACTGCCTGTCAACAGATCCGCGTCCGTGCCGCATCTTTCGTGCAGTCTGGCATAGTCTGACTGAATCCATATGCAGAGAGGATTGGCTCTGAATCGGCACCTCTGCGAACCGTTCCTCCCACTGCGCTTGCAACTGGACCTCAGGGTGAAAACGACGTTGAGAGCGCGAATTAAAGTCAGGGCGTCCGAATCTATGAGGCCGAATTCGAGCGAACATACACGCATCATCGAAGGCGACCGTCGCATGCCCGGAAAAGCCCTCAGGGCTGCACAAGCTTGGCCTGGGCTGCAGGCCAACTAACACATACTAAGACTACAATGACCTTGTGAAATCTACAGGTAGCTCCGACGCAAGGACAACCGCCAGCACGCATCATCCACTTGTAACAGTAATGTAGCAACGTAGAATTATAGGCACACAAGGAGCTGCGACCTGCTCAAAAAAAGCTTTTGTTCGAGAATATGCTATTCAGATAGAGATGGGCAGTCGCGAAACTTTGATAGAGTGGCGGTGAACAATCGAACTGCCACCTAGCACCTTCCGGCCAAGATAAGTAAGGAAGTTAAACTGAACAAGACACAACCCAACCGACGAGGCCTACCGCAGAGGATGCACGTAGGCGCTCTTTTATCTGTCATGTCTTGACCCAAATGCAACCATTGTTCTGAAGTGAAACATGTTTGTTGCAGCATACGGCGTGAGACCTAGAAGCTAGAAGCTATGCTTTACTACACCACTACTAGGTGCTTAGGGGTCGATATTTCTTAACCCCCCCCTCGCCGTGCACATTGTAGTGTGGCTGGCTGGGGCCCTCTCAACCGACGCCAAAATGGCTTCATGCCGGGAGTGAGGGCGTGCGAGTGGTGGCTGCGGCACGAGCGCTTGCGCTTCGCAGCTTGCGGGCGCCAAAAAGGCTGCCCCCCTTACTCGCTCGGACTGGCGATTTAGAATCAAACGATAACAGGCGCATCTTTGGGATGCATTTCTGGAATCACACCAATCAACTCAAGACCGATTGGCGCAACCAAGCTGCCCCTGTCACAAGTGACTGGGCGCTATGAGTAAACTGCAGCCTCTACTTCTTAGAAGACTTGGGCGCTGCTCGTGGCTTTGATGACAACACGCGCTTGTCAACAAGCTCTTTGGGCATCTTGGTGCTTAGCCCCAACAAGCGGATCGCATTATCCCACTTAGCAGGTGGAAGCTGCTTCGTGAAGATGTCTGCTGCTTGAAGTTGGTGTCAATGTGGGAGATATCAACACCAAAGCCCTCTTCAAGTTGCTCTGCGAGACAAGACAAGTTCACTTTGTGTGTCCACGAGATGTGGCTTAGCTTGGGTGAAAAACCCTTACGAGCTATTATGATCGTGGCTTGGTTGTCTTCTTGCACTGTCATCTGCATGGTTCTGCCAAGAAGCGTATCCCACAAGCTTAACACGGGAAGTCCGTCACTTTAAAGTGAGTGAGCCAACGATACTATCTCAGACTCCGTGTTACTAACCCAAGCTAAAGGGGAAAAAAATATTAGGGCCTGAAAGAACTAAATGACCCCTCAGGTGCTGCGTGCGTGAGCCTTCTCGCCGGCAAAATCAGCATCTACATACAAAGACAGCTGGAGGTCATCTGAGCTGTCGTTGACGTGCCCCACTAAGCGCTGTTTATGTAGCAAATGAGACGGTGTGCCTGGCGATCGTTGTTGCGACTCCACTTTTGAACGCAGGTTGCCAAGTCACCTATGGGTTTCATGATATCTGGAGGCGACCCAACCATAATGCCTTCATAAGCGACTTACAGGCAGCGGGCGCTGCCTCACCTAAGACCTCGTCATCAGATGGCGGAAGCGACCCCTCAGGGCAGAAGGCCGTTTGGGCACTCTTTAGCTTCTCTTAGCCCCTGTCAATGATAGGTAGAGGTCTGATGTAGTGGTTGCGCCCCAAAGCACGGAACACGGGCTCAGGAGCCTCGACATCGATGAGAGCGGTGAGCTCGTCCCAGAAGGCTTGGTGCTATGCCTCTGGCCCTGACAACGTCAGGTCGTCGACGTATGTCGATAGCAAAAGCCTGCGAGTTGGGAACCAGTAGTTTCCAGGAAACTCTGGAACCTCTTTGCCCCCAAGGCCCCTAATGATGTGTGCTAAGTGTTGCTCCCACAGGCCCCTTGCGTCAGGGTGGCCGTAGAGCTCACGGAG